ATAAGTCCATTCTTATTAATTTACAAAACTGATTACTTCATAATTATGAATAATAGAACTTTCTTTTTTCAACACTTTAGTTAAATTTCATAAAACAAATATTACAGATACAAAAGTAAATACAATTTACATACCAAATGAATTTAAATTTATTACAAGATACACCCATTTAATGATTTTCACATTATTCACATATTAAAGTATTTTATGTATTTTATAATACAAGCCGTTATCACAGACATTATGTAAGTTCTTTCAGAATTCAAATTGTGAAAAAATGGTTTTCTTATGCAACAATTGAAATGTAGTAGAAATCTGAATATAATTCAACCGTATCTTTCTTCATTTCCAAATAATTCAACTTTAAAAGGTTATAAATGAACCAATGATTTTAGATATTTGTTTAAAATATAGAATGACAAGAAATAAAATTAAAAAAAATATAATTTATTATATTAAATATTAAAGACTCTACTACTGTATAATAAATTGCATTAATAACATATGCATTTGTAAAAAGCAAGTTAAATTTTGTAAGAATATACTAGAATCTGTATATTTTTTATAGTAGTTGCAGAGTTATAATAACTTAGATTTATGAATATTTATATTAGAAAACAAAAAATTAATAAACAAATTGTAATTTAGTAGTATATAAATTTTGGTGAATGTAATTAAAAAATGCTATAAAATTTATGATAAGTATTTTTAAGTTATAATTAAATACAATGTTTAGTATAAGAAATAAAAAAATACATAATAGAAAGTAAACAAGAAAATATATTCATGTGATTTAATCGGAAGATAACAACGACAGTTTTTCGGTAATAATACATTATGTAAATAAACCAGTCTGCATCACTGCTGAATGCTTCTTACGCTATGCATTTCTGTAATACACGCATGCACGCACGCACGCACGCACGCACGCACGCACGCACGCACGCACGCACACATATAGCATCTGTGCCGACTCTTGAGGCCAAAGATTACTGACCTTGCGCGTTATAATGGATTACGTATATGTAATACTTCCTACACTTATCACTTTCAATTTTCTCTCGCGATTATAAATATATATGACTTTGACCTGTACAAACACTCTTCTTTCTATTCGCCTTGTTTTTTTATTTTTTCATTTACATACGTACATCCTTGCTATACGTGATCTTATCTCGTTATGTAGTATTATTTTAATTAAAATATAATTAAAAATTATATTGGATTAATTTATTTCCAATTTAATTTCATGAAAGAAGTCAAATAGATCGTGACATCTACTAAATTTGTTTCATATAACATTATAGCGTATATTCAAAGAGAATATATATAATTAAAATTCAAATTATGTTTAAGTAACAATATATATTTAGTTCTTTTATGTATATAAATTTAACTATTTATTAATATACGAGTTGTATAAGTCATAAGTAAAGCAATATTATTTTGGTAGTTTAATCAATTTTGTAGTACAATTTTACTTTTGTTGATATGTTCAAAAATATTTTATTAATATTCTTATTATATATAAGATAGGGATATTAAAATATGTCAAAAATTACTTTAGATACCAAAATTAATTATATTTTACCTTATTCACAAAATTTTTAAACTTTTATTGTTAGATAAAAATTTTAAATATTTATCACAGAATTAAACCATTAATATATATATAAGAAGAATCATAATCGCATAAACTAGAGATTATTAAATGATAAATTAAATTAGTGCTTTGAATCCCTGAATAAATTTGTTAAAATACTATTTTTGTATGAAAATAGTAATTCAAAAAAGTTGAAATGACATTAAATAAATATTTATAAACTATATGAATATAATATTTTAATCAACGTATAATAAAATAAGTTTGTTATTGGAATAAAGTTTAAATTTAATTTTGAAAGACAAAATATATTCCAAATATTCTTGGAAAATTTTATGCATATAAAGAAGACTACATTACTAAAAAAAAGAAAAAGAAAAAAACTTTAACATTATAAGCATTTAACTTTTTAATACCAAATATAAACATAATTATAGCCATATATACGTATACATATATTATAGAACAACGACAATAATAATAAAAATAATAGACATTTTCAAATATAAAATAATATAATTAGATTCCTTATATTGCCTGAATCTCTAATGAAATATAAATAAACAAGCTGTCATATTAAATATTTGTATATAAAAATTGTAAATATAATTTAATGATTAGTTTATTATATTTTTTTCTTAATAATTTTATTAAACTGATTTGATTCGTTAATGGCTAAATTTCAATAGAGAGTGCGTAGTTGTAAATATAAAAAATAATTATATATAATTATCTTTTAATTTCCTTAGTATTATAAACTCTCAATTCCGTTGGAGAAGATACTCTATGTCAAATAATTACAAAAAATATCATTTAGATTTTAAACGACGAAATCTCGCCGACATTATGTCTCTCTGAGTCGTCGTCGATCCATCCTGCCATCCCACCATCCCACCATCCCACCATCCCACCATCCCACTTATCATTCGACTGACTTGATAAAAACTTCGGATAGAAGCGACTCCCGCGAAATACCTGACGACTTAACATGACCAGGACCACAAGATGGGTTGCGTCCATTGGGATTCGAGACCACATCGGCCGGGCGGAACAATTCTTAATCTGCATAAAGTCCATCGTTGCAGCATCTACGGGAGAGTTTGCGGCCTTTTAAAAGCTCTCGTAAAGAGAAAAATTACTCTTAAGAGATTGCGAACGCGTCGTCGGCAGCCAATCAGACTCACCACTGCCTGCGAATTTCTATGTATCTCGTCGACTATCAGTAAGCGCCAAAAGAACTGGAATAACTTCAAACTTTACTTCATCTTCGTCCAATTTAGAAAGACTTTTTTTTTCAACGTAATCCAAATACCCTTAGTGTATACTTAATGAAACTTCGTTCAACACTTTTGCAGTAGTTTGATTTTTAATGTCTGCCGTACATGAATCTAGTCTTACATCTACCTAATTATTATGCTCTTTAATAACAGTCTTTAAGGGATATTACGTATTGCTATTCAAATTGGCCACTTTTGATATCCCGACGATTCAACTAATATTAATCACTTATTAAAAAATTATTGCTTTTATAAACGATTTTTAATGTTATATCGTTCACGATAAGATTGCGTAAGAGTCAATAACTCATCTAATGACTATTAATTAAGCCATCCACTTGCATTCCAATTAAATCGAGTACCTGTTTGAACTAACATACATTTATTATTGCAATTTAAATGATTCTGTAAAATTACGTAAATCAATATTTAAAATTGCATATAATGTGCTACACTTGCTTGGACGTCCATCAATTTTAGCATAAAATTTCGATAAATTTTACGAATCACTCATTCCTATAATCTTTGAACTTTCGCATATGAATATTCGAAACTTCTATAATAACAAATTAATCTCGATTACTAATCAATAAATAAATTTTAAGAAAATTATTTCGTTCAGTTTATAATAATTTGAAATAATAATAATTGTCGTATGATATTTTGCCAATCAATCATGTCGCACATCAATTCACTTTGATCGATTTCAAAAAAGCTTTTTATTATAGATATTTTTCAAAGTCTCAATCGGAATTCTTCTCTCATTGGCCGTTAGTTTCAATGAATTACAAAAAAGTAATATACTATGGTTAAATTTATAAGGATTTCATAAAACACTATGAAATTCATAAAAAAAAAAAAAAAAATTTTCAAATAATATCGTTTAAGAATTTCAAAATAATAGTATAATAACAAAATACTACAATCCTTGACTGACGTGAAAAATTATTAAATAGTAGATTAAATAGTAATATACATTTTAGATGGTTCGGATGTCCTGGAAGAGAAACGCCGTTAAATCGACAATATACTAAAACGATCTGTGAATATATATTTGAAGCTTATTCGATTTGTATCGAAAAGTGTTCTATAAAATAATTTCATTCTTTATTGGCTTGAGTAATTGATTCGATAAAATTGATCAAACTGAATGAAATATTTTGCAACTTTTGTGACGAAATAATTTATATGTCTAATGTGATTTTCAAATTTCATTTGGTGGTGCTTCGACGAAACTATATATTATCGTCGGTATTACTTTTTTTTTTTTTATATAATATACCCTTGAAGTTGCACTGCTTGTAAAGCTTGTAAATAATAATCGTAGGTTGAATTTTTCGAAGAGAGAAAGGCCAACAGCATTTAACAACATCGTTGGAAGAATTGATAAATCATAATGTAAAGCGAAGTTAGATGTCGATTAACTTTCATTTAATTAATGTAAGTAATGCGAAGCTTGAAGAATTACTAGAATCCGAACTTTCTGAGATCGATGAACAATTTTATTTCGTCAAATTAAAGCTAATTTACATAATTTATAACGAGTACGCGCTATAAATACAAATTGACTCGTTTCCGTTCTAGATTGCACCAATAATACCTCGGATAAATAGAACGTAGATTTTAACGAAGTTAGTGAAATTATCTATTCACCGTGTTTCGCCTAAATATTATGATGTATAAATTCATAAAAACAAAAAACAAAAAAAAAATATAAAAAAAAAGAAAAGAATGAGTATCTATCGAAGGTTTTAACGTACCCATAAATGTATGGAATATATTAATTTTTTTTCTCATTCAACGCAATCGTTTTTTATAAATCCGTATTATTATATAAATCATGAATTTCGTACTCGCAAAAAATTCAAAGATATACACATCAATTTCTTGCTCCACGATTGTAAAATAAAAATACCTTATAAAACAGAAATTCCAATTGCATCTCCTTAATATTTTCTATGTATTTCAATATATCTACGGTGAGCACCTGACTGAGTGAGCCTAACTGGTCGCAGAAAATCATATATGTTCGATGTAATAAAATAAAATGGCGTGCGTTAAACGTAGAGTAGCATGTGGACAAGAGGTAGAAATAAAATAGACAGAGTGACAAATTGTAATATCGTAGAAAAATATTATTTATTCTCGAAGCTCGTACAAGGAAATTCACATGTGTAATAAGCCAATCGCCAGCTAATCGCCATTGAAATGAAAAAGGTGACAAAATGAGGAGTCTGCGCGCAGTCGAGACTATCTACAAGATAGAAGAAGTTGAATGATAGAAGTCTTGCACATTCCCGTCACGCGAGCCCGGGACAATTCATCCTGGATTCGCGTTCGTCCATATTTACAGAGACGGGCCAAGCGGGCCCCCTCAGTGATGATGCAGCAGGTTGCCGTAGCCTCCGCCCAAGTCGTCGTGATGCTTCTCGTGCACATAGACCGGGTAGGACTCCTTGACGATATAGGGGACCTTAACCGGGTAGGGCACTTCCTTCTCAACGGTGTATGGTACCTTGACGTGCACGTGGACAGGATAGGGCTCGGCTACCGGCACTTTAACGGGAACCTTCACCGGGTAGGGGACGGGCTTCTCCACGGGATAGGGCACGTGCTTCTCGACGGGCACTGGATACGGTGCGGGCACATGGTAGGGCACCGGCCTGTCGACGGGCACCTTCACGTGGACGGGGTAGGGCACGGGCACGTGCTTCTCGACGGTGTACGGCGCTGGCACCGGCACCTTCACCTCACGATGAATCGTGATGCCGGAGATGTGGCCCTCGTCGGGTGACTCGCCGAGGGAAACGCCGAGGGAGTCGCCCACTGAGCCCCCGAGCTCAAGGTGTCCGGCCTCAAATTCACCAAAATCGTGGCCGAGCCCGAGGTCAAGGAGGCCGCGCTTGCTTTTGCTGTCCTTGCTCTCGGCGTTGCTCTCGGGGTCGACGGCCTTGTTCTTGGAGGGTTGCTCGGGTCGGGCTGACGCCAGGCCGACAAGAACGACGAGGACTACTGCTGTCTGTGGCAGGCGAATGGAAATTATTGATAATGAATGGACTTGGAATTTAGAATTCGTGCACCGCCTTTGCACGAGGGACTCTTTCTTTTAAATTATCGACCTGCATTGTGATTCATAACAGCGCGTGCATTAAGCGTACATCGGTACATTCATCATAGGCTACAAGTCATTTCTTTTCATTTCGAAGGAAAGTTTGCGGCTCAACACAACTTTCTTATCATTTATTTGGATACTCCGTATATGTAATAGTTGACGGGTATTCAAAAAATTTATGGAAACCTTTTATACGATGTATCGAGGAACATCGCATATTTAGTTTGATTGCATTTATACATTATGGCTAGGCTAGTAAAATATTCTTTATTAATAAGACAAATTGAAACAAATGCTTTGGAATTTGGCAATTACTTGGAAAACAACTTTACTATATTCTTCCTCTAAATGTTGTATTATTACCCTCGAATTTTCATAACAGTTATATTAATGCCTCATTTGCACTTTAAATTTTATACTTACAGAATAATTGCCATAACGTAAATATTTACAGTTTATGAACATACGAAAGAATTGTTTATATTCATGTTTGCAATGTGCATATTTTCAGTAATCATATAATTATTATGACATCGCAGCTCGCCTGACAAAAACCTGATTCATCTACTACTTACATTTAAATATTTCTATAATTAAATTTTTTATTCAATCTTTATAATTAATATTTTTTCTATCTCTTTTTATCATTTCGTATTATGCTTGATAAAAAATTATAATAATAATTTATATAATATATATATATATAAATAAAATTGATTCAATTTTCTTATGATGTTTTTCTTAAATATTTATATCACTTTTATAGGAAATATGTACGTCTCAACTTATCAAACGACAATTAAATTAACTGTAGGCACTTCAATATTATTATTATTATTATTATATTTATCAATAATGTAATTTTACAGTATAGTACTTTATATATTATCATAGCCTATTATAAAATAATAATTATAAATAATAATTCAATATTATTATCAAATAAATAATTAATTTGGCAAATTTTTCGTGGTTTATTATATTTTAAAATAAACAATTTTTTATCTAAATCCACATCGACTATTCCAAAGAATCTAGTTAACGTGAATGAATATAATGATGAAAAAAAAATATTGATATTAGAATATTATTCATAAATGACGATTTAGTAACTAGAATGATATTTCGTTTAAATTGCAAAAAAAAAAAAAGAAAAAAAATTACCGCTATGTGGTATTTAAGAGTTACAAAAAGAAAATTTTCCTACAAATGATATCAATGATTCATTAATTACAAGATGCCTTTTTTTCTATAATATTATTCGATATTAATACATTGAAAGAAGGGCCGCTATGTACTAATTACAAAACTCATAATTATTATGCAAATACCATGTTCGCCTGGAATATGTTTGTAAAAATACAATAATTGCAGTTAACTGTAATTGAAATAAAAAATGTTCATACATTTGTAATATAAAACATCTAGGCTTTACCGATATTAAGTTTCATAAGAAATTCTACTTATGGATTTGCACATAAATTGACTATATTTCATCAAATAAATAATTAGAGCATCTGACTTTAAACATAAGAAATTATGTTACAATAAACGTCGAGGATCACGATTATTTTCCGAAACCATTATATTAATTAACAAAAAAAAAGTATCTGAGCATTAATTATGTACCGCGATGGCCTGCATGAATGTTCAAAAGTATGAAACTCCGAACTATGTATGCTATTCATGAAATTGTTGGAATTCACTTACAAACCTTAATAGCTATAAATTTCCTTATGTGGATATAGAAAAACTTAGAACTACCAATTATTTTAAGTTATTTTATTTTAGCTTCGATAAAAAATTGTACAAGTTTACTTCGTATTCGATAATTTGTTGTTATTTTTTGTAGTTATTATCGTTGTTGTTGTTGTTATTGCTGCTGTTTTTGCTACTCGTTTTTGCGACTGCTAATTTCTAATCTACTAATTTCTAATAATTACATAAACTTTATCAGCCTTAATTGATTTTGGATTCTATTCCCTCCCCTCCCCCCCTACAGTCACGTACACGTGCATAAGAATATAAAGTGGATAATATTTAAAATGAATGTTAAAAATAATAATATAAAATGAAATAATATGTAAGGCAACATACTCACAAAGAATAACATAAAAAATTGAAAAAAAAAAGTACAGTCGAATGATTTTTTCATATATAGTATGTTGATAATAACCTCATTATAGCCAATTTATAACATTTATAATAGAAATTAATTTTACTTAATTGAATTACGTGTGGGGAGACTTTGTTTCTGCTTTCGTTCACTTTGTGAAATTATTCGACCGGAAATAGAAATATGGAATGTAGATCTTCTAATTTATTTATTTAACTTTGGAATATACGAACAATATTATTAAATTATTCATTTATTATTAAAATATCCTTAAATATACTTAATACACCATAAATTCGAATACAACATTGATATTATCACAGCTACAAGATCCAACGACAATGAACAATCGCAAACTCAATTATCAAAAAGTTAATTATATATCAATGATATTAATAAAAAGTAAAATAAAGGAATAATATTGCGCTTCCATATTTGAACCGCGAACTAACCATTTACGAACATAAAAGACTTTTTCGCCAAGAGCTACAATCTCATTTGCATATCACTTTTAAAACCTATTAGCTGTGCATCTGCTCTTACTTGTTCACTCCATTCGCGCGGAGCTGCGGCGACAAATAGAAAAAATCAATCCGTCAAATAGTCGAGATAAATACCGAGCGCCGATATCCCTAAGCACACATTCGTTCGAGATCAGTCATACTCGTCCTCGGCACTCTCTCAAATCCCTCACCCATACATATTCAAAATCGACGGATTGGCCGAGGTCGGTGTTTACTACAGCACCAGCCCGTCACCCCGAACCACTCCCTGCCCTCGGAGCCCGCACCTGCGATACCGCCTTCGGTGCTACCGTAAGTAAAGTACTCGGGTTCGCTCGCCGTTACGGCAAAAGAACCGCCGCCCGTTGTAGCCGTCACGACCGCCGCCACCGCCACCGCCACCGCCACCACCCCCATCACCACCACCACCAGCAGCCCCCGACCAGCGTTTATAAACAAAAAAATTCAATCCACCCCCGCTCTCACCTGAACTCTCATGGCGAATACGTACGAATTCACTGGCCCGACATCGCGCCAATCAGCCGCATATATACCTGCACTTTCGCCCGACTCTGCCCACTCCAGGGTATCGTAACGGTGGTGGCGGCGGTGGCTGTGGCGGCGACGGCGGCGGTGGCGGTGGCGGTGGCGGTGGCGGTGGCGGTGGCGGCGGTCGTGACGGCTACAACGGGCGGCGGTTCTTTTGCCGTAACGGCGAGCGAACCCGAGTACTTTACTTACGGTGACGCCTCCGTTTTCCCACGGGGCATACACTGTGCCTTCGAATTCTTGAGTCGCGCGCGCAAAACGGATTACTCAAACTCCACGTCCTGGAGACACTTGTGGCTGATAATTTCCCAAGGTTGCGGATATGAGCTGCTTTGTGTCACCGTGCACCGCCGGGCAATCCTCTTGCACATACGAGGCCTTTTAATATCTTGTGGTTCAATATTCTTGCTTTGATGCAATACGAGAATATATGACCCTTAGCTGCTAGATTATCTATGCTTCGTAAATAACAATATTCCAAAGGGTTTGCTATTCTTCTCATATCAACCATCAAAGATTTAACTGACATTTCAATATATTATGTCGATTTTATCAAATACATGTATCACGTTAATATTAACGCCTCAATCATTATCGTGTGCGACTGAAATAAATATTATGTCGTGCACTGGAGAATTAAACAGTTGCATCAAGATAAAAAGATTAAAGTTTTATTGCCAAGCTCTCACGCTAAATGACTCAAATCAAGTGAAATTTTTACCAACGATCGACTAATCTCATTATATTGAAATATAGCTGAATATAAAATTTGATGAGCCCTATCATTATTACTTCGTGTCACATAATTACTTTAATTAAATATTACCTCCATACTTATTCTCTAATGTTATATAAACAAGCTAAACATTTAAAATAATATTAAGATATAACAGTGCTCGATAGTCTTTTAAAATTATCTCTTGTAAGCGTTCCATTCATGTATAGTAATTAGTTTTAAAATATTGTTTTCTTTGTGCTACGATGAAAATGAAAGTTTCTGATGTAACTATGCATATTTCCAAATCATTGAACTTCCAAAACTAAAATATAATAATTTTGTCAAAAACTTCAGATATTTCTTAAACAATCTAAACTCTTGATTGTCGTTTGAATATTTCAATAACATTAACAATTTTACTTTTTTAATCAGATAAATTAGTGCGAATGTTATTGACCCGAAGGTAATCATGTAATTAATTACTTTTAAATTTGAAGGTCATTAAAACAAATAAATAAATAAAAATATATAGGTACTGATATTAAATTGGCTGATATTTAATATTGAGGAATACGAAAATGATGAATTCGTTATAAAATAAATTGAGGATTAAGCCTTAACTACAGTAATAGAATAAACTATATAGAGCGAGAATCAATAATTCACTGCAAGATCAAACTTAATATAGTTAAAAAAAAAAAAAAAAAGTAATTAATTGATTTAATTTAAGTTCTAAAATCACATTTTGGAAAGTTCAAACTCTATCTTTATGATACGTTCAATTTTTCTTAGTATTTATTCACGAATAAGGTCGATAACTCGATTTATTGCTAAAAAGAAATGATAAATTACTGTCACTATTCATTATTCTTAAATGATAGCGACAATGCGTATTTGTCATTTTAATAACAATGATACAAATAACTTGACGTATTAATGCGAAATTCCGAGACTGTAGGTTTTCCCATTCCCAGCGGAACGATCCTAGTAAAATACGTTAAACATGCAGCATGTAAATACGATATATGCTGTTTTTCTCTTTTATCCTTATTTAAATGAAATAGGGCGTGAAGCCTCTACTGGATCTTTCATGATTAAATAAATATTCTTTTAAAAATATATAGATTTAAATAAATATATTACATGTACGTACGCATATACGTTTATATAGGCGTACGTGTATGTTTGTACTCCCTCTTGAGGAGCCCCACTTTCTCTTTATAAAACTTTAACTTATGCTAAACAAGTAACAGCGGCAATGATTCGTGGCTTGAACGTAGCTGCTGCTATACATGTAACCACGGATAGGCTACGAGGACATTAAAGGACATAAAGAATGCGACTGCAACAGCCAAGAAAGATATTTAATACTTTTCTGTATTTTCATATTGATATTTATTATAATAATGAGAGTGACGATAATCATTAATAATAATAATAATAATAAGAAGAAGAAGAAGAAGAAGAAGAATAAGAATAAAGTTGCTTAAAAAGATTTTTCTGAAAGTAAAAAAGTTATTATTGATAGATTATAAACGGGATGATAAACCATCAAATTAGCTTACCTTGAACGATAACCCTGGAATGTCAATCAATACGTTATAATTTGTCAAGGTCTCTAAATACAATTAATACATAATTATGTAAAAGTTCAAACATACGTATAAATTAATTTATAAGAAACATTTTAATAATATAGAAGGATAAAATAGTAAATTAAAATCTTAAACTTATAGATATATATATATATATATATATATATATATATATATATATATATATATATATTTTTATATAAGATAAATTACTCATATTATATCGTAGAAAATTTTCATTGGGAACGATCCTTTATAATATATAGGCATTTGATAGATTAATCAAGAAAAGATATCTTTTAAACAAATTTATCACAACAATTTTCTTCTTACTTATCAATCCACATAAAATTCAGTACTATATTTATATTATTAACAAAATTTCATTTATCTTTTTATACAATTTTGTTATAAAAGAATAATACTATTTTAATATAAGAGTAAATTACTTATGTGCATTGATACATTTATGTTTTACTTTATAAAATAATATAATATTGCACAAGAAAAATCAATAAAAACGGTAGAAACGAAAGATACCTAACTCTATTTATACATGTATGTGTATGTGTGTATATCCTAATTGTATTGCACAATTGAATACAATTAATCTATTATATTTTTTTAAAATGTACTTTTTATTATCTATTTGAAAAAACATATCAAATCTTTTTTCGATTCTTTATCGTAACAAACTTTAACACTAATATTATTTTTACTTGCAAACAGCCAATGAAAAAATTTCATTTTAAAATCTTATTGTGATATAGTAAATGATATAAAATTGGTCTTCTATCTATTTCGAAAAAGTTGAAAATAGAATAAAAATATGAAAATATTTTTTATTTTCTAGAATTCCGAGTAACAAAAGGTTTTTCCAGATTCAACGTAATCAAATATTATACATTTATAGAAAATAAATTACACTTATATATTTAACTTGAAGAAAGTAAAAGTAAAAATATAGTATTAAAAAATTTATGCCGATAAATTTCATCTTTACATGTGTGAACATTAGAAAATATGTTGTACTAATGTACTACATAATTGAAAATACTACAAAGAATTTATAGAATTTACAAACCATTTACTTCCATTATTAAAAATTCCGATGAAATCCATAAACCATTTTGTTTAAAAGGCAAAAATTTCATTACAAAACTTTTATTTAACTCTCGAAAATAAAAATACATGCATTAATTATTGAAAACTTGGATTATTTTACTTTAGAAAACAATAAATAATAATGGCATTAAACTGAATAGGATTAAGGGAACAATATGAATATTCATATATGAACTAAATTTTTGTAAAAAAACATTGATAAATTATTTTGAACGAAAGTAAAATCAATGAAATAAAAAGATTAATTACTACAATTTTTATTAAAACGAGTCTAAAAATACACTGAAATATTAAATTAATTATCTTTATTAAATTTTAACAGTTGTTCCTAGTTCTTGAAAATATTTAAAAACTATTAAAACTTCTTGCACACTTTGATTATTTTAGAAATACATATTTATATTTTTGTAAAAAATAATATAAAAGACAATGTAATAAGAGAATGCATGCAAACATTTCAATTAATTATAATTTATTTTTAATTTACAATTAGGTTGTAATTCGGTATTCAAAACGTTCTCACATACCAATTCGACATACATAATTGTAATGTTGAATTGTTATTATTTATTTATGTATATTTAAATATAGGCAAATAAAACTGACAAATGTTTATTATATTCCTACGCCTGATTTTTAATTATTAAGCCTCTTAAATCTTCACAATTTTTCATAGTAATAATATATTTTTAAACTTAAAATAGAGTGAAATCGAGCAATTTTATATAATAGTTGCAAAGTTGGAAATTAAATTATATTAAATTTAATATATTAATTAGTAATATGAGAAAATGTCATTGATTTATGCATGTCAATAAATTCGTTTTTCAACAAAAAAAAAAAAAGAAAGAAATAGTATTTTTATTGACAATGCTTAAACAATAAACTATAATTTGTCATCCATATATGTAAAAACAAACGAATTATGAATAATGTAATAGCGTTAGGAAATTCTCACTTTTCTGTTTTGTTATTCTGTTACTAAAATTGCCAATTGTAATTAAATTTATTGATTTAATGTCATTTTATAATAACTTTTTAAAATTAATTATACTTTTTATTATTCAAACCTTGCCCAATGGTATTAAATGAAACAGTACAAAGTTCGTAAATTATAGTACGAATTTCTTTTTAATATAATCACAAACTTATGAAAAATCTAAAAATAATGGTAACTTCAATTATTTGTTCAATCACTAATAACATTATAAAATTTGTTTACTGATACATAAGATCCAATAAACTGTTTCATTATTATTAGATACCGAAAATAATCATGTCCGAACGTCAAATGGTTAAAGGTGAAGGAATAAGAATATATTTAGCACACGATACAAAGTCTAAAATAATTTTGCTACTAATAAAATAGTTATATAACCATTGTATCTTCAAATATTTATTCGCGTGTACATATACCAAACAGCAATACAATGGCTATAATTCAATTAGGTGCCAATTAATTAAGCTATTTTCCAACAAAGTCAATACTTTCTCCGAGCTTTTGTTCTAATTCAATTATGCGCGAGTTACGAAATACTGGAAAATGAAAACGAGAAGGTACGACGACAGCGGTTTCAGCGCCGCGTCG